AAGACCCAGAAAGCACCTGGTTAGGAATATTTATTTTCTGATCAAAGATCGGTCAGAAAAATGAGGGTAGGAAATGTAGATCGTAAAGAAACAAAGAAAATTTTCTTGAATAAACAAAGGCAATACAGAGAAATTAAAAGACTAAAAACATATGAATCAGAATTTATTAAGACCCAGTTGTTCCTCTCAAACTACTACATTATTGTCAGGGTTAGAATCTGACCCCTCAAAATATCGATCCTCTTTAGATGACGACTTTATCAATCCAAACTTACTCTGAAAAACACTCAAATGAAAACAAAGTTACCTACGTTAGATCTTGTATGCGATAAATATGGTATATCTGATCGATCATCTGCTGCGATTGCTAGTGCAGTATTAGAAGATGTAAAAATAATTACCACAGAAGATCCGTCGAAAATAGTTGACATAAATAAAATGAGAAGAGAGCAAGAGAAATCTAGAAATATCGCTAGGAAGGAGTTTGAAAGTGATAACAGAAAAATAAAAAGAACAAATCTTTACTGCAAGAGAAGAAAAACGGCAAATTATACAAGAAAACTGTTTAATTATTAATTAAATAAAGTCGAATTATTTTCGTAATATCATTATAGAAAAAACTTGTTGCATCCGTGTACAAGCACATCACTTTGGAAACCTGGATTTGATTCGATAGTAAAGACATGTTATAAATTTTCATAGAGAAAACTTGGTGTCTCACACCCAATGATATACATAATTACATAGATTGCTTATCCATATGTAAATCAGACGACGAAAACCGTATTTTACTGGGCAAAGTTTTCTTTTTATCTAGATTATATTAATTTTGAGCTTTTAGTTGTAAACAAAACATTAACCGAACCGGTTTAAAAATTAAAAATTTTTTTTGTCATTAAGATTTTAACTTATTTAAATAAACATTTTATATAAAACAATTTTACAGATAATTAATGGTTTATTCTGTTAATTAAAACTAATGTAGAATGTTACTATGAAATTAGAATTTCCAATTTGACAAAAATATCATGGCCTTTTTTACAATTCATTTACTATTTCTCATTTATCACTAAAATAAACAAATCATAATTAATACATTGCAATTACTATCAAAAGAGATTGCAACAAACTTTAAAATATTAAAAATACAGTGATTTATGTAAATTTTTTTAGTAACATTACCATTAAACATTACTCAGAATAATGATAAGTATCCAATTACAACTTTTACCAAAGTTGTTTACATCTTATATCAAAGTTGTTTACTTTACTTTTTCAAAGTTGTATTACATATTGCAATTATGTATTTTATATATTGTTATTTCTGAAAAAAGATTGGTCTAAAATTATTTACATCCATCTGTCATAAAAATTGTTTAGATCTATTAATATTATTTAACTTTAACTGCATGTAAACTCAACTTTCAAAATACATAACAACGTGTCTTAAAGTAAAACTTTATTTTGTTTTTCTAAAGATTAAAATACTGAAATTTTATTTTAAAACATATTTGGGCTAGACAGCTCTATTTAGTGAGCACTAGGAAAGGCAATATATCCCACTTTTGAATATCCACATCGGATGCATTTTTTATATCTCGAGCATTTGTTTATCTACATCGGACACATCCACTACATCTACATCTGTGTTTGTTTATCCCAGACGTAGCTGTCCAGATTACAATTTTTACATCTCGATTTGAAATGAGAGGTTTGTTTCATGCCAGAAAGTAGGTGTTCTGTGAAGCCAAGATTATAGATTTATCATTTGTTTATGCTAGCGTGAATAAAAAAGTGATTAGTGTGTTTAATATTTGTTTAGAATATAAATTTAGGTTGATTTCCAGTCTCAAAAGTCAAATTTAAAGAATATAAACTTCTAACTTGTCATTGTCATTGTCATTTTATCCTGTGACCAATAAAGTCTAGAGCGTTTGTTTATTACATCTACATTCAGATCTAATCCTCTATCACATTTTTAGGCAACAAATATTCAGTTACATTTTACTGTCTATATTAGAGCAAAAAACAATTTAATATTATCACACAAAAACACACACTACTAATATATTTACAATAGATACTATATACACATACATGAGATAATATAATATACAGTAGGTACCTAACTATTCGTAATAAACACATTAATTAACTTTATAAGCAGGACACAATATCTTCTTTTGCTTCAACTGACTGATTTTGTTGAAACTTGCTACCAACATAAACCTATCCAATATATTTTTGGCCAGTCCATTTCACCCTTTGCATAATTGCCATTTCAACCATCAAACGATTTAAAAAACCTTTTTTATAACCGTTTGTCTTTCTGTACCTTTAAATTTCAATGCTCTTCAGTGAATCCAGGAGAACCATCAACAGCCTAATACCACTTTGATAAAGTACTCTGATGTTGAAAACAATTCTTAAAATTTTCCCTTACATAGGTATAAGCCTTCATACTGTAGAAGCTTAAAGTTAGTGCAAACGCTCTTAATTCAGTGGAGTATTTTGTTCTGGAATAATCTTTAATTGCTCTCTTGACCAATTCCTTAGATCCACTTGCAGGAGTAGCCTAAAAAATAACTAATTTGATCTAAAATAACATATATAAGTAAAATGTTTCCTCATCATTAAAAAATTTATAAAAATTACTGGAATTAATTTTTACATCCACAAGTGTATCTGTACTTTTAATAAAAGAGTTACTTTTTATATATATATATATATATATATATATATATATATATATATATATATATATATATATATATATATATCCTATCATACTATTTAAAGATTCTGCAGATTTATTAATGATATACACTTATATAAATTTTAAAAGTTCCAAAGGCTATTATTACCAGCACCTGTTTGGTTTTTAAAAATATAAGAGCTAATCATACCTTTTCATTAGCCTCTTTCTTTTCCAACTTCAAAATTTCCAATGTTGGGAACTGCAGATAAGGGCATATTTTCTTTACCATCGTTATTTTTAAGCCTGTAAACAATAATGTAATAATAATAATAATAATATATTTTTAGTATTTAACAGCATAAACAAATAAGTGTGTGTTTCGAAAGCCACATATATGAATATCGAATTATTTACAGTGTATTTCTAAAGCAAAGTACAGGTACAGCTTTTGGTATAGATCCTTTTATTAATCTATTGCTACCTTCATAATAATGTTCAGTTGAAAATGGTCTGAACACAGACATGTGTTGTTAGAAATGCTATTAATGCTCGAAATAAATACTTGACAGTTTGATTGTGAGATCAGCGGGAAATCTAAAATAAGAAAAAATAAGATTTAAAATGCTAATGGCAGTTGAATAAATATGTACAATACAAAAATAAATCTAATCCATTTTACAATATACAAAAAGACATAAATGAAGCATTATTGCAAAGAAAACAACTATTTTCTGTCGAACTCAACCAGTTGAGGTGATGCTCAAATGAAGAACATTCTACAAACATGTTTTCTTATTCATTTGCCCATTTCCCATTTTGAGTTACGTTTATGGAATATAGAATACTTACTTGAGAAATGTCAACCGATCCTTTTGCAAATTACATACTTTGATTACTATAAGGTGCAAGAGAGAGTTCCGACACGCCCAACATAGGGCGCGGCCATTTTGATTCCTATGCCACAGTTTATAGCTAAAGAATCAGATCGCTCACTCTGCGTTGGCATTTTTGATCTCAATGTTCCAGTTTATACACTGCGCAACTCGGATAATAAAATATATGATGTCTTCTGCGTATCCTGAATTTGTATCCCTGGAGTGGAGTGGATGTTATTTTGGAACTTTCAACTGGTCCGAGTGAGCTAACTGATTCTTTAGCAATAAACTGTGACTCCAAAAATAATATTCACTGACACTGACAGCAGCAAGCAAAATATCAGGTGCGTTTTAATCATCCGCTTCTGCTTCCGGAATTGTCGGAAGCTACAAAAAACGATCTTTTTAAAAACGAAAACAAGACGTCAAATGAAATATCATTTATCACAATTACTCGCGTTATTTAAATTCGCCAATCATAAGTCTTCCTGGTCCTAACTCGCCAATCATAATGCGTCTTGTACCTAACACCGAAGGGGTTTCCCCCCTCAGTACATAACAAATCCATTTGAGTAACACCTCTAGTCTTTTATGCTCTAAGATCTCGAGCGTTTTTTTTTATCCACATCGGACACATCTGTCCCATTACATTTACGTATACTGAATCACGTGATCAAAGATTTACTACATTTTAGATGCATCCGATGTGGATTCTCAAACGCGGCATTACTTGCAATGTTTACCCCATTTAATTCTAACATTAAACACTAGAGAGGGCTAACTTCGGCAGTAGTGCTACCTCTATATTTCACGCACGGTCCCTATAACTAAAAAATATATGCTGACAATTAATTTGACAGAATTGTCACTTCTAAAATTGCAACAGCTGATGTAGTGGGCGTATTTGACCAGCAAATACCAATAGCTGTTATGCGCAATTGCCTCCTAAAAACTTTTACATTGTGATTATCCTACCCTAGTTTATTCTTTTTGCGAATTCTTCGCTTGATTCCTTTTAGAGAAGCATAGTCCAATTATCAGTGGAACCAAAATTACGTCATCACTAAATTAGCGTATAGTCAGGGCCGACTAGAGGGGGGTGGGGGCAGCCGGGACTAATACCCGGGACCCGGGCTCAAATGGGGTCGCGGCAGCGGTGGTGTTTGTTACTTTCAGAAGTTTGACAGAAGAGGGGGAAGTTCTTAGTTGAATACCTTGTTTTTAGTGAGATTCAAGTAGAGGAGGAGAATTTTTTTGCTTGAAGACTTTTCGTTATTTAATTTTTTATAAAATTGTCGCGGGGTCCGATCTGGAGAATTATCTTGGGGCCCGGTCTGGCTCTCGGCGGCCCTGCGTATAGTTTAAATAGAAAAGGTTATTCAACTGCTCCAAGATGGCCATTTTCATAAACGAACATTTTGTGAATGTTTTTTTGCTTATATAAATCGTTTAGTTTAAACAAGTATTGAAATATCTATTTTGATAATGACCCTGAATTTCTAGAAGTATGCACAAAAAGGAGAGGTTTCAAAAGGAACGTTTACAATTATTTATCTTTTAAAATTACTTTTGATTATAATTGTTACTCACGGAGCATAAATAACTACGTATTAATGTTATGCGATTATATATGCAGTATCGTGAATAAGAACTATGAATACAAAGTGAAAATATAGTTAGTTGTTAATAACAAATCTAAGCAGATAATAAACTAACTGGTTTTATTCTAACAGATTTTAAATACCAAATACCAATACTAGTACAAAGTTGACTTGGCATTGCAAATACACTGAAAAAGAAAAACAATTTGATTGATGCTTGAAGATTAAAAATGAATATTTACTGGGCTACTTGTGTATTATGCTTTTTTTCTGCATTATTTGACACTGGTAAGTAAAGTTAAAATAATTATTTGCGTAGTGATTCACAAAACAATGTTTCTAAAGTAGGCAATAACCGATAAAGACAGAAACGAGCCATGCCTGCTATAACTACGCACGGCCCAAAATTAAATCCAAACTGACACTTAAAAAGAAGAAGAATTGAAGCTCCGATATAGGTGATTATTTCCAAGGTCTATTTTAGAAACATTTTTGGTGTATCACTCATTATTAAGATAAAGGTGTCGAAAGTTCAAAGCGGAATCCAAAGTAAAAATTAAAATAGAACAAATATAATATTATATAAGTAGATAAAAAATCAAAATGTTTATTATTCACTTCCTCGTGTTTTCTGTATACCTATGGTTTTGGTTGCACATACTATTTTATAAACCATTAAAGGCATGTTATCAAGGATTTGTTTCTTTATACATTATCGAATTTTATTTTAGAAACATAAGTAGATATAATTTGAAAATTAGATGTCATTATAATAGTTATAAAAAAAACTTGTACTTCATATAAAATATGCACGAAATAGTTTTTTTTTTAAATTAAAAAAAAAAAGGTTAAAAATTGTCAAAAATTTCTTTATATACAGGGTGTTTCTAAATTCATGCGACAAAATTCAGGAGATGATTGCTCGTATGAAATTAAGATGGGTCTTTCCTATAGCAAAATTTCCTCAGCCCACCCCTTTCCCAGATATCACCCTTAAAATGTGGTGACTAAAATTGAGTTTTTTTTTTTTTAAATTTCTGTAAAGCTAGAAACTTGAAATTTTGTAATTTTCGTGCACTCGCAAAGGACTAACCACGAATATTTTTTTATTATTCCTGTTCCATTATACGGTCGTGAAATTAGCAACCCTTAATTTATTTCATATCAAAACTTTTTTCAAGATGAAGTTTTATGAAATAAAATTATAACTTGAAATCCTTGTTTTATTTAAAAAAAAATTTTATTTTGAAATTTTTTCCCAAAACCAATAGCTTCAGAGAAAAAAAAAAAAAATAAACACCACAATTTATAATTTTTTTAATAAATTGAGTGAAAAACAGTGAAGATGTAAAATTTAATACGATTCATAATAAATGCTGGAAATGACCACCTCTACCTTGTTTTTAATTACAAAGTTTTAGAATAGTAGGCTGCTGTCACTTCGACAATTCATTTACCGTGTTTACCTTTTAAGGGCGATATCTGGGAAAGGGGTAGGCTGAGGAAATTTTGTTATAGGAAAGACCCGTCATAATTTCATACGAGCAATCACCTCCTAAATTTTGTCGCATGAATTTAGAAACACCTTGTACTCGTATATAACCTGGGACAATTACGCCTAAAGCGAGACGTCTGGCAACCTCAGCTGAATACCTAAATATAAACTCATTTATGGTTTTTATAAATGAAAAGGGAATTTATTTTCAAGATAGCCAAGATTTATTGATGAACATGGCAAAAGGTTTGATAAAATTTCGAAGGCCAGCAACTACAACACCAATTGTCTCTTCATCTATGATCAGTACCCAAAACAAATATTTATTTTTTATCCTTACAAATTCAAAACCAAATCCAATATAAACCAAACATTTTTAAATTAGATTAATAGAACATCATTATAATGACGTAAGAATCTTTACCAGACTTAACTTTCTCACATTTATAGTAACTGATTTAAAATCGCTTTTTAGTGAAAGTGATATTTCTGGTCATTAAAATGACAATTTTTATATAAATTTGATCTGCGTTTTTTAACGCAAATCAATATATTTGGACATAATATTTCTGATTTTTAGGTTCGGCCTTAAATTGTTGGTCATGTGACTCACAAGAAAAAGCAGATAGTTGCAGAGATTATTTCAATATTTCACAAATTGAAATAGAAGAAGTAGAACGTTTACAAAAATATGATTACGGATTTCCAAAGACTAAACCGTGCTACGGTGATGGCACAAAGGATGAGAAAACAGTATGTTTGAAGTTGGTTTTCAAAGGTAAGAAAAAATCGCAATCAAATCTTTTTACAAATGATAAATAACAATTACCCATATGTTTCCAGTTTAGTTCTAATGTAAAAGGATATAATTAGTAACAGCGCTATTTTCGTAAAGTTGCTTACAATATACAGCTATGCCAGATCTGTACTGTATTTACTGTATTTTAATTAAGGAAGATATGGATACATGGGTGATTCAGAATCACCCATTGATCAGTGTGTCCTAGGTAAATAACTGTACATTTAACATTTGGTACAAATCTGAAATCATGTTAGTAATCAAGAGAAAATTGAATATAATGTCCAACAGGGTACTGTTTTTGAACTCATTTTGTTTTCTCTTTACTCACCAAACACAGTTCTGCCCAAAGTTTTTAGATTTACAGATTACACATCAATATTTATGCAGCTCGTATATGGGAAAGAGTTGCAGTTAAAAACACATGACGATCGTGTTTCCTTACTGACTAGCTGTTGTACTTTAGACAGCTGCATTATCAGCGAATGTGGACAATTTTATATGTTTAACATTTGGAAAGTAAAAGGTGTATAATAAATGAATCGGTCAGAAAAGTAAAAATTTGGGAAATTGAAAAAAAACTTCTGTGTGTAAGACAAAGCTTTGTTTTTTTTTCTTAATTGCGAGATTGGTTTACTATTTGATGGTATCAAAACAACTTGTGCTTTTTTTTTCTAAAGAGTCCAATATATTTTTTTTAAAATCATGACTTATGGGGTTTCTCAAATATATGGATATTATTTAAATTTATGTAGACAATAAAACTACATATTTTATTGAAATAATGTTTATTTAACAATATTTTTATTTAATTTAAAATTTCATCTAAAACCTTATCTTTATCAACAGTCGGCCAGTTATAGCTATCTTTATAAAATTCAAGTACGTCTTCTCATTCCGGAAGATACTGCTTTAGTTTGACAAGATCATTCATCTGTTAATAGGTATTTTTCCAACATAAGCCTTTTTGATAGGAAGAGTCAAAAGTTGTGTTGATGTATTTCGAAATGTATCACAATTCAGTCCATCTATAGAAGATTTTGTCAAAAAACTCTTTCATTTAAAAAAAAAAATGTTTAAAATGCACACACTGACTATTTTTAAGTGATATCTTTTTATCTTGTGATACTGCTTGTTAAATTATATTCAACATTGCGCTAAGCTTTCATTCTCAATTCTTTATTATTCCTGGAGACGTCTCTGCAAGCCGCACTCTGCGGCACTGCCTTGGCCGATAAGAACGGTCTTCCATCTAATAGCTTCGACACAGGCGTCATTCACTTCTTGTCCACTTCTCATTGGTAATCCATACTCGGAAATCGCCCTCAATAATTAAAAACACTAGCGTTAGGCACTTCCTTATTGGTCAACGTCGAGCGTCACTCTCAATCTAGCTGAACAACTTCTCTCCCGGCAGAGCTTCAGTACCTCTCAAACACAACACATTGTTCTGCGGTGTACAAAATGGCTTGAGTGCTTAAGTAACAAATTTCCGAAGAAAAGTCTGTATATAGTGTAAAAAGTATGTAGTTTGTAAATAAACCATGTAATAAAATTAACATAGTTTCAATAGTATTTTAAAATAAAGTATGTAATTAGAAAGTTATGTTTTCACCCAAGCACTAATCCTTTTAGCCCTACGGATCGCACAGGTATTTCCAACATAAAATCGGTCAATCTGCGACAGCTGATTGTATTAGCTCGTGTATCGCATGTATTAGAGCAACAGCATTAGTCAGTGACCTATGGGGTTTCTCAAGTAAAGCTGATTTTTACGTTTAAAAATGTAATACAAGAACTGCTACGACTAATGGGATTTCTTGTTGGAATGTGCACCGAAATGTTAGCAATAAAAATCTGCTATTTTTGGAATATGTCAAATATGTGACTTATAAGCTTTCTCAAATAACCAATTCAAATATAATTACCGGCCAAAAATCAATTCGCTGTGGGACATCAGCATTTTTTGACATGAGTTCGTTTTCCATTTTAACTTTAAATCTCCACTGTCACTGATAAATTTCTAGTAGTTGGACATATTGATTCGTCAAAAATTTCTTTAAATAGTAGACCTTGTTGCCATACTTTATCGAAGGCTTTTGAGACGCCAAGAAATATTGCGCAGCAGTTTTTTTTCTTTGATGGTTCGGTATAAGTTGTTTTTTGTCTTCTTAAATAGTTTTGATATCACTGGTGGAAGTGAGATTGGCCAATATGATTTTATTTCATTATTGAGTTTTCCCGGTTTAGGTATCATTATTACGTCTGCTGCAATTTTACATAGTAGTGGAAAATGTTGAAGCCTAAATGCTGTGTTTATTATAGTAGTCAAGTTTTAGGAAAACCTTTTCGTGGTAATTTCTTTATCATTTCCCTTGTAATAAGATGGAACCTGGGAGCTTTTTTTACATTATTAATATTTTTTATTTCTCTTTATACTTCTTTAGGTCTAGTTAGTAATATTTTTTTTTTAAATCCTTAACTTCTTCTTGGTTGTCCTATTCAACTTCTTCACCTCTTACTGGGTTCGGGTGGAATATGCGTTTTAAATAGTTGGTAAAAGCATCAACTTTTTGTTTGCAACTTCTTGCTCACATCCCATTTTCTGTTTGTATTGGGGATATGTGGCAGATTGGTTTGTTTATTTTTTTGACCGCTTTTCCTAATGATTAATCAGTGATTTGGTCATTTGTGAGCTTTCTACGACATTTTTTGGTTGACTCATTTATAATTTTTTTCTCTTCGTAACCATTTAATTTGTTTTTGTTCTCTTTAGTTCCTATTCTTTGCCACTCCTTTCTAGCCTTAATGGTGTATTCTTTCATGCAGCTTGTTGAATATTAACCATAAATTATTCTGTTACTGTATCCAATTCTTTCACCGTCAATTAAAGATAAATAAAAATATAAAAAAATCTATATGTACTTCGGTTGAAAAGGCCATTATATACCTTGCACATTATTAGGACTGATCTACAAAAAATGTTTCCAAGTAAGCATTATAGTAGAGGAGACCAAGGAGGTCGACTTTCACCCATTTGATAACCAGATGAGGCATATTTTTTATGAAATTTGTTCATGGCTATTTTTAATTAAATAAATTTTGATCAATTTTTTTATGACCTTCATTTTTCTGATAACCGAACAAATTTACTTTTAACAGATATATTTTAACATGGAGAACATGCTTCGCTAGGCTTGTCTACTTAGTTCTGTGCATGGCTCCCTGGCAAGCAGGTATAAACAGGCTATTCAATATAGGTAACTACACCTATATGTCAACCAAAAAAATTAATATCAGAAGAGAGATAATTTAATTACGAAAATAATCGTATAGGCTTGCCTACAAAAAACTGTTCATGGAATACGCTTGCCATGCTTTAAAGTTTTAAAATCGAAGCAATTAAATATGTGCGAGAGAGATAGTAAAACGTGCGAAGTCCGTTGACAGGTGACAAGTGACAGGACACAACATAGCAGCTGTGCGTGACATGTCCGTTGAATGTAACTCAATGCGTATGCTATTTTACATGTGATTGACAGAGACAGTGCTTATTTTGGAGCAGCTGACAATAAACTTTATTTTGATTATAATTATTATACAGGGTGTCTGTAAAAGGTCTTTACAAAAACATACCACATATTTCTTAGACCAAAATAAGTCGATTTAAGTAAAATTACCTTTGTACAAAGTTGCTTCGTTTGGGCTCCAGAGGGCCTTGAAGTTACAATTTTTAAATCGTTTTTCCCATATAAATTTAAAACGGCATATGCGATTTTGCTGAAATTTGGTATGTTGGTAGAGTTTTATGTGGCAAAAAAAATGGTATTAAAATTTTGACCGATTATAATACATAGGCGTAGAACTTGATTTTTTAAATAATTGCACCTTTAAAAATTCTACGCCAATGGAAGAAAACGAGTTTGAGTATGAAATTTAGATTGCGCAACTCATTTACTTTAAAAAATGTACTCTTGATAAGACTCGATTACTCTCATGGTTTTCGCTAAATTTCTGTTTTAATAATTTAGAGTTTATAGGTTTCACAAAAATATTTCTTTACAACATAATCAAAATAGAGATTTTACAAAAATTGTTCTAAATGTTCACCATTTTCACGTATACAAAGATTTATACGTCGAAGAAAATTAAAATGTATCCTTTCCATAACTTCTTCATCACCTGTAAGATTGATTATTGCATCTTGAATACGTTGCCAGAGTTGTTGCTCATTTTCTACAGGTTCCCTGTAAACTGTGGATTTCAGATGTCCCCATAAAAAGTAATCCATCGGTGTTAGGTCTGGGGAACGTATTGGCCAGTCTAGAGGTGCGTCATTACCTCTGCCAATCCATTTGTGTGGATATTGTTCATTCAAGTGGCTTCTAACGTTTAAAGAAAAATGTGGTGGAGCTCCATCTTGCATAAACCACATATCTCTCCGAAGTTGAAGAGGTAAATCTTCTAGCAATTCTGGCAACGTATTTTGTAAAAAATCCAAATAACTTTCTCCAGTTAATCTTCGTGGAAGTATGACAGGGCCAACAATGAAATTACCAATTATTCCAGCCCACACATTAATTTTGAATTCGTGCTGAAAATGGTTTACCTTTATTGCATGCGGATTTTCAACTGCATAAACATGTTCATTATGGGTATTAGTTATACATCTTCTTGTAAAACCCGCTTCATCGGTAAAGAGAACCTTCTTGACAAAGTTTGGATCTCTTTCTCTTTGCATATTAACAAATCGACAAAAACCCAAACGAATTTGAGGATCATGGACTAATAATTCTTGTACTGGCTTCTTATGGTATGGATATAGCAATTGATCTCCAAGCACTTTATGAACGACATCTTTACTTACTCCTAGTTCCCTTCCAATTCGTCTGCTGCTTAATTCTGGATCTTCTTCAACACGTTCTAAAATGTCTTCTTCAACTTCAGGAATCCTTACAAAACGTTCTCTTCCATTATCAACAGTGTTGGCAGCAAAGGAACCGGTCTCCCGAAGACGTCTCTCAACAGCAGCAAAAGTTGGGTGGCTAGGTACACGACGATTTGGAAACCTTTCAGAGTACACCCTGACATTCTTTCGAGCATTTCCTTTACAAAATCCTAATGTCAGTAACATATCGGTATATTCTGCATTAGTATATTGTACAGCCATATTAATAAACCACGCATTTGTTTTTTTAATTATTGAGTCAGATAGAACACTTTCAATCGTTAACAAGAGATTAGGTGTTAAAACTTGACAATATTTTTATTTAGATGAAACTATGGAAACCAACAATAAATGTTTTTGAATACGTATTGCAGGCAAATAATTAATATTCCTCAAAAAATCGTACATGGCAAGAATCGAGTATTTTTGTTAAAAGTCTCGATTAGAGGTGTTGAAGAAGATATGAAAAAAGTACATTTTTATGTTTTTCATCGTATAAAATTTTGTCCGATAATAATATATAGGCGTAGAACTTGATTTTTTAAATAATTGCACCTTTAAAAATTCTACGCCAATGGCAAAAAGGGGTTTGAGTATGAAATTTAGATTGGGTACTCATTTACTACAAAAAAGTACCCTTGATAACACTCGATTTACTCTCATGGTTTTGACAAAGTTTGTATTTTAATAATTATTGTTTATATTCTAAAATTACTAAAATGCAAATTTCGTCAAAACCATGAGAGTAATCGAGTCTTATCAAGAGTACCTTTTTTAAAGTAAATGAGTTGCGCAATCTAAATTTCATACTCAAACTTCTTTTCTTCCATTGGCGTAGAATTTTTAAAGGTGCAATTTTTTAAAAAATCAAGTTCTACGCCTATGTATTATTATCGGACAAAATTTCAATAACATTTTTTTGCCACATAAAACTCTACCAATATACCAAATTTCAGCAAAATCGCATATGCCGTTTTAAATTTATATGGGAAAAACGATTTAAAAATTGTAACTTCAAGGCCCTCTGGAGCCCAAACGAAGCAACTTTGTATAAAAGTAATTTTACTTAAATCGACTTATTTTGGTCTAAGGAATATGTGGTATGTTTTGGTAAAGATCTTTTACAGACACCCTGTATTACTATAAAATACCTATACTTACAGGTATATAGTAATCATAAAAAAAATAAATTAATAAAAAAAAATACATATTTGAAAAAATATTTTTTTATCTAAAAGTTAAGTATAAAAATGTTATTATAATAACGAAAAAAAAAAAAAATAATAATAATAAATGTAGAATAATAATATTCATTACATTTATGGTATCAAAAGCGTTTATTACAAAGCAAATGGAATACATAGAAAAATATTATAAAATTCGTAATTATTATTCAAAATCTGAATCATCTGAAGCTACGTTAAGATTTTCAGACTCTGATGATTCCTCTTTATTTACATTTTCCGTCATTTGCACGATGTCATTTATTTTCAAAGGTGTTTGATCCCCAACAAATCCAATCGGTTATAAATAATTATTATTCAGTAAAAGTTTTCGTCCTTTAAATGTATTTATGAGTGTGAGATTAGTGGGAAGACTTCCATTTATACAGGGACTGTCCCAGAAAATTAAAAGATGTTTTAAAATTACAAAGGGTTATGAAAACACAATGTTAGCGTTTTACCAGTGTAGATCCGTGTTTTCAAATTTAAAAGATGAAACGCCTGATCAATTAAAATCCAATGTAGTGTACAAAATTAACTGTGAAGGCTGTGAAAAATGCTACATTGGTATTACGAAACAATATCTTAAAAACAGAATATACCAACACAAATATGACTGTCGGGAAAAAATGAAAATAAGGTAGAAAAGACCGCATTAGCTTTACATCATTTTAATCAATCGCACAAATTTGACTTTGATAACGTTAAAATTGTTGATAAAGAATCCAACTATTACAAAAGAACAATTAGTGAAATGATACACATATCTCTAAACGACACAGTAAATTTAAGAACGGATACTGCCAATTTAAGTATTTGTTATCGGAACTTACTCTATATATACAAAATTGAATCGGACTAAAACAATAAGCCGTTAAAATACTTACTTAGCCTACCGTACTATTAAATATAAAACATACAAATTAATTTCTTCGTCCACCCTACAATTTTAACTGCCACAATATTTTGATTAATTTTATCATTATTTTAAGATATCTGTGTGTAAATGTTACATTTAGTATTAGATTTTATTGATGTATTGTTCTGTTTCGGCAAATTCCACATATGCCATGTGCATTGCATTAATTAATTAATTTAATAAGGTAAGGTTTTTACTTTTTATTTCTCCTTGTTTTTATGTTTATATTGATTTGTTAATTCTCTCATGCTAACAATGATTGTTTTATTGAAATAATAATAATAACCATTTACGATGTATATATACCTATATACCATTTATAATATTGACACCTATGTAAATCTTATAGTTTTTACTATTTTTTATTAAATTATGTATTTTCAGCCTTGAAAAAGACGAAAAATAAACGCCGAATCGTCGGCAAATTAAGAAGTTAATGTTTCCTTTTGGCACGTCCTCTTCCCACTAACCTCACACTCATAAATAATTATTTTCTAAAAGCTAACCTAATTTTTCAAGGCGTAATTTTATCAGTCTGAATGGGTTGCATGAAGCCACATAGAATTGACATATATAGTTCTCAAAATTTTTTGCATTAAAGAAGACAAGCACGGTGGTATAATGTTGGAGTCGAAACTTTTTACTGTTTTTAAAAAAAAATTATTGTCTTCTTTTGCGGAGTAACTATTTTGAAAATTCTTCTTTATATTTATTACTTAAAACTGTAACTTTATTATAACACTGAGTGATAACCCACAAAATCTAGCGATTCTTTAGTTAACTGGATACTTCCATATTTCAAGTTTTGCCTTTTACGGAAAGCCAATTTTAAAAAACATATTCGAAATGAATTATTATCAAAATCCAAAAGAGATTTTTTTGAATCACATACAAAACACTTTTAATTCCTGTTTTATTATTTTTTTAATTTGCCAATTACAACTAATACTCAGACGTGTTATCACAAAATAATTTTCAACGACAATTAGGCATTCCAACGACATGTCTCACAATAGGTGCCAGTGGGAAATTCTTGGGGTAGCGACATAGACTTGCATCTTGGACGTTATTTTTATTCGAAATAGTAGTTGCCGATCCTGTCAATTTATGAAGAAATGTATAAGCGGGTTGTTTAAATATTATTTTTATTGTGTTTGACATAAAATATTTAAATGCAACCCATTATTCATGATTTTACGTATAGTAGATTGAATACATCGTATGTCGCAACCCTTAGATATGCCAAACATTCCCACTGGCAATTCATTTGTTTGGAATGCCTAATTAAGCACTGTCTCTGTCAATCGCATCTAAAAGAGCATGCGCATTGGGTTACATTCAATTAGGCATTCCAACGACCTGTCCAAATGGCTGCCTGTGGGGACTGACAGTTTAGATATGGCAACCCTGTTGTCATGTTGTCATTAACAGGGTCAATGATACATATATAGATTGCTCAAAGCTGGTCGTTTGCGAGCGGCCATATTGCCTGGCAAATATTTATTAATTTGAATTGGTTTAGCAAAAATGTGTTTTAAAACCAATTTTCAGCCATTAGATATTTAAAAGAAAAATAATTGCTTACATTTTTACTTCAAGGCATAAGCTTATATTTATTTTGAAAAATATGGGATGATCAATCTATGTAACTTTCTATTTTATTGACCTTGTCAAATCACCAGGCCTACAGGGTCGCCATAATTTTGCCATATAACCTGTCAAAACCCACTGGTTGCCATTCAGTTTGGAAGGCCTAATAGACATGTCATGCGTAGTTGCTATGTTGTGCCCTGTTCTATCACACAGACTTTGCACGTTTTACTTTCTCTCTCGCACATATTTAATTGCTCCGATTTTAAAACTTTAAAGCATGGCAAGAGTATTCATTGAACAGTTTATTGCAGGCAAGCCTATACGATTATTTTCGTAATAAATTATCTCTCTTCTAATATCAATTTTTTTTGGTTGATATATGGGTGTAGTTACCTATATTGGTTAACCTGTTCATAATTGCTTGCCAGGTAGCCATGAATTGAATTAAGTAGACAAGCCTACCGATGCATATTCTCCATGTTAAAATTGATCTGTTAAAATTAAATTTGTTCGGTTATCAGAAATGTGGAGGTTATAAAAAAAATTAATTAAAATTTATTTAATTAAAAATTACCATGATCACTTTTCCCATAGGAGTGTTAATAAATCAAGAAAATTTCATAAAAAACATGCCTCATCTGGTTATCAGATGGGTGAAGGTCGACTTCCCACGGTCTTTTAGTTTATATTTCATTTAAAGCCGCGTGTAGTTATCACGAATAGGACACCTAACCATCTCTGTCGGTCATGGCCTACTTTATATTCTTTTTTTGGTCACTCCTTATAAAAGCGCTCAATAAAAAATAGCTTACTAATCAACCTAGGTATATAGGTAATATTCTATTGTTTGTACGTTTCAACTTTTCTCTATCAGTGATTAACCACATCAAATTATTTGAAATGTTGTTAAAATGTATTAAGTTCAATTATTAAAATTCTTAACTGCTTGACCGAATACCGCTCATTGATTAGTTATAAACTTTCAATTAATTTTTAGGTGCTTCTAGTAAGGATAAATCTGATGTTATAAGAAGATGTCAAGTAGTTCCAAATGCTCTAAAATCAGGAGATTGTCCTGAAGGTTTGACAGTCGGCAATAGTAGAACAGTAGAATACTGCGGAACATGCGATACCGATGATTGTAATTCAGCTATTGCGATAGAAACTAACATTTTTTTGGCAATACTGATGATGACATTGTTGCATTCTGCAAAAACATTGTAGGTGACTTGTAAATTAATAGTTTGTTAAATAAACTTATATAATCTATGTAAGCTAGTATTAAAAGATATGTATATATCATATTCTTATCATTTACCAAACAATGATTATTATAATTTAAAATTATTTTAAATTAATTTTCTTACGGTGAACTAAGTTATACCTACCATGTCCGAAAAAAACTCTTCTACCTTTCTTTATCTGGCAGTATTTTGTGGTAAGTTATTTTTACTAATATATGATGGTGGGTGAGGTTTTCCGGGTTTTCCTTACCTGTAAGTCAAATGGCACCATTAATCATCTTTAAGTCGCCTCGGAGCGCCACGGCAAATAATAATAATAGCCGTCCCTTTCCCCGCACAAGCTCAGCTTTTGGGGTTAAAATTCACTCGTAAGGGGGTGAATTAGGGAGAGTATTATTATTATTATTATATATTTTTAATTTAAATTTCTTTACTATGTACTACATTTTGAAGTGTCGTATTTTCACGAATTTTTTAATGTATTTATAGTTGCCTATTATTCAGGTCAATATCATTTTTAAATTAGTTTTGTGCAAATATATCGCGAACAGATAAAATGTACATACGAGATTCGAGGAAAAATCGGCAGTACTGGTGTTAATGAAATACGCGATACATGTTTGAGTACCATTATCATTTAGTTGCTAATAATTTATCAAAATTTTTCGGTTAATATTAATAATCGTACCGCATTCCTTATTTAATCCCAATTTTACCCAAACCCTTTCATCCTTTATATGTCGGTGAATGAATTTCAATCAAAGGAATAGTTTAGCAAGACAAGGTGAGTTTTTTCTTATTTTTTGATAGTAATACAGTCTGCTTTTTTTGTTTAATCGTAAAATTCGCAACACTCTGCTTTTATTTTTTTTTTGTTTGTAAAAAAACACTCCAAAAAGGGCGTTTATTGATATTACAATCTGATCAAGAGTTGATCAATGAGTAATTTTGTAACCTAACTTAACTAGGGTTGTAATCTTAAAAACTAAATTTCTACTCGCTAGTATACCTTAGGGTAACTTAATTACACTAAACTAACGTGTAACACTAAACCGCACAATGCTTTGCTTTGTTATTAACACAATCACTTGGCTAACTCAAAAGGTTTTACTCTCTTGAGTCTTCTTGTCAGGTTCGTGTTGTCAAGAAGCTGGATCGCCTCAACGTTCACATGTTGGTGGAGCCGTTGTTCGTGACTCCTAGCGAATCTGGTGATAGTCTGGTCAACAGTGTCCATCTGAAGGTCTCAGCTTTTATTTAAATGATAATTTGGTGATCCGATAAACTCCGAAGACCTAATAAATCATTGATTTCCCAGACAGCAAACTATATCCTTGGCATGTGCCACCAATCTGCCTATTTGCCAAAATATATTGCAATATTTATGGAATATTCACAGAATATATTTCATACTCTACATTCTAAAAAGATATTCCAGGCATTTGTATTTTTGATATGTTCTGCATATTCATTTTTCATATTGTATAGATATCTCTGTAGAATATTATGTTATATTTAACTATTTTGTTTTATTATCTATAAGTACAAATGATGACATAGTTAACAAGATCATCCTTGTTTAGTTTATAAAGACTTGTATTAAACAAAAACGTGAACTTAGAACTCCGGAATGTAACTTTAAATCATTACCATGCAAAGTTATTTTCAATTAATAAAAAAAATTAAACCTCCGAGATCAAATTATCTTTCTCTTCATAAATAAAATAAGTATGTATAGTTTTCCTATAATGTAGACAAGAAAAGGACAAAAGAATGAATCTAACAGTCAAAAGTATGCGCCTAGTACGTATTGGTAGTTGGTAGTAAAAATTATCTAATAGTGTCTTATTGGCTCTCTATTCATAATCTAGCCTATCGTCGAACGTAAGTCTTTGTTACACGGGAAGTTAGATTATGAGGAATATTTTTTATTCATGATACCTGGTCAAATACTCTAAACGATAAAGACCACTAATAAAAAAAAGAAGAAGAATATGACACATAACCAAATATTGTCAGATTTACTCTCTGAGGATTTACTAGAGATGTGATGAAGTTTTTGTTTTTTCTCACGATATACACTCACCTAAGAGGTAAGTCTTATTGATTGTAATATTTGGTCCTTCTGTAGTATCAGTGTGGTGCTTAAAATCCTAAATATTTTATAAGAAGTGTAAATCAATTGGTAGACGAGTCGCTTGTTCTCAAATAATGATAGAGCATTAGCTTCAGATGAATGTAAAATGTAAGCTTCTTACTGAATCTTTCGAGTAAATACTATTATTCTTTTCACTGGGAAAAACTCGTGTAAAATTCAAAAATCTGAGTTTATTTCAACATCTCTCTTTGTATAGGATAATATTAATTCAAAGACATCTAAAGCTAATGAATTACCTATTCTTAGTAATAAAGTAACTGATCATTATAAGTGTTTAGAGGAAATCAAAATATGGGTAATTCGTAATAAAATTGCAGACAACCTATTTTTGTTTTTTTAGAGATGTGTAGGAATATACACAGTACACAAATGGCAACGGAAAATGTAGAGGCCTTTACTATAAATAAAGTGACCCAAAGATGCTATAGAAGTAAGTAATACTGTAATTTTTGTCTCAAGATTTTGAAATATTTCTATTTTACTGATATTTTCATCTCAATTCTAACACTTATTATTAATAGCATCAAAATGTAAATAATTTATAAATATCTCATAATACATATACATATCTTATACAGGGTGGCTCACGCTCAACGGGACGGAGCTTTATGGGAAAACGACCAAAGATATAAAAAATTCGTTTGGGAGGAATACGTAGGTTACAGACGGCTACAATTTAAAATTTGTTAGATGTATACAGGATAACCCACATAAGAAAAAAAAATTAGTTCATTAAAAATTATTCAAACAAGAGTAAACAATTAATTTCTGGGAGACTTTTTTTCCTTAAAAATTCAAATAAATTGAAAACTAATAATAATAGTAATAGGGAACCTTTAGTTAACTGACATTATTTTTGATGTAGTTTTTAATTCTAAAATAAAAAAACAGGGTGTTCCATTAAAAATAATATAACCTTGTATATTTTCTCTTATGTGGGACATCCTGTATACATCTAACAAATTTTAAATTGTAGCCGTCTGTAACCTACGTATTCCTCCCAAACGAATTTTTTATATCTTTGGTCGTTTTCCCATAAAGCTCCGTCCCGTTGAGCGTGAGCCACCCTGTATATTATTGTTTTAGGAGAAAAGTACGTGAAGAACCTCATCAAATAAATTTAAATTTTTAGTTTTTGTATTGTTTTATTTTTTTTAAATTTGCTTTATTTTTAAAATAAAATGTATGAGTTTTCTTAAACTATGGTACGGCATTACAAAAAAAAATTGAATATGCCATGAATATTCAAAATACCATGAATATAGGCATAAATAGATATCCTCAGTAAAGCCAGAGAATATGCCATACATATATTTTGACAGATAAAAACATATCGTGGGCATATGTTTTATGGTGACCTTGAATATTCCTACAATCTTCCTGTCATATGCCATGGCGGATATGGCATATACATGGAATATAGAAGTATGCAGTTGAGGTATGCATTGAATATTCATGCAATATTTTTGTGCTGTCTGGGTTTAGATCATGCTTTCTTAATGTGTGATTCTGGGAAGGAAAAATAAAGTTTCGTGTCATCTGCATACGATACTGCTAGATTTAGGGGATAAAAGGACATTTTAAAGCAAATAAAACAAAGAGAAGGGTTCCAGGAATAGCACTTTACAGTACTTCGAAAATGTTTAAAAAAAAATTATTATTATAGGAAACAGCTTGGATTCTTTTGTACAAATAACTGCCTAATAAATATCTGTAGATGAACGTGAAAAACCTATGTGATGGAGGGTCTAGTACAAATCGATAAAACATAAAATGTATTAAAATGTAACAGCAATATTTACGGAGACGGTTTCCTTTTGAATAATTAAAACTGTTGCGTCACGAGTTTGTTGGACTTTTTTTTTTGTAGCCTAAGATCCACAATTACTATTCTGTTAGTTCCAAAGGTCCAATTACAATGACGTTGTTGGCATACCCTTAAAAATGCAGTTTTTCGTTTCTTGCAACACCAATAAAATAAATCGCATGTTTTTATCTTCACATATCAAAACATCAAATGTCTTAAGCAACTTCCAGAGG